ACCCCCATCCCCTCTCACACTCCCTGTTTGTGCCTCCATCCTCCCTGATTTCCAGTCTGAGCATGAAAAGGTTGCATTTCTTGAGAGTGTTTGCTCCCTGCTGAGCACCGCCAGGATCTGCGGCTTGCAACAGGGCCTGGATGTCTTCTGCCATAAGAACCATCTCACAGAGACCATCCAGGTGAAGGGACCCCCATGGGGATGCTATGGGGCAAAGGGCTCCAGCACCAAATGAGGGCAGCATTGGTGGACTCCCAGGTCCCTTATCCCCATTGTGCTCTATAGACACTGCTCCAAGAGCAGCCCATGGACCAGCTGCGCACGGAGGTGCGGAATTTTGCCATGGATGCAATAGCGGAACTGAGGTACCACAACTGTGCATCCCTCCTGGAGACCCCACTGCTCCCATCACAAGCATCCAACTGGAGCCTTCTTCCCTGTGCAGCTCAGTGCAATCAGGCCTTGCGGACCAAGGGAGAGGACTCTTAGAGACCTGCTGCACAAGCATCTTCTTCCTGCCTCCGAAAGAGGAGCTTTCGGACCTGGATACCTACTACTACGTCCACGTAAGGCGCTCCAGGAGCCCGCAGCTCCCTTTGGAGCACTGGGGCTGCGGGATACCCACGGTTGAAGCCCTGTTTGTACCCAAAGGGCTCTGCTCTGTCCCTGCAGGCACTGGAGTCCATGGATAACATGCTCCGGAGGCTGGTGCTCAACTCGCCTGACCCCACGGCTGGCGAGGAGCTGCAGAGCATCCTGCAGGTCTGGCCTGTGTGGAGCGGGGTGCACGGGGGCTGCTCCTCACCCATGGGCCCCCCCAGAGCCATGGGCCCCCCTTCCCCTGGGTAACCCAAGGCCCTCCTGGAGCACGGGGGCCGCAGGGGGTGGCAGCCACTGCCCACAGAGCACAGGGCAGGGACCCAACATCAGGAGGCTGAGCCCCGCTGGGATGGGGTCTTTGCTGCCTCCTGGCCTCATGGGCTGGGACCAGGCTGCTGGGGCCCATGGACTGGTTCCCTTGCCCTGAACTGTTGCATGAAGAGGTCTTTAGAGGAGGAACTTCTCTGTTATAGATATATGTGTATATATATATATACACGTATACATATTTGTATCTACTTATATATTTAGATATATTAATATGTATTAATATTTGTACTTATATTTATATTAATATCTATATTTATATTTCATATTTATATATTTATCTCTCTATATTTATAATTAGATTTCTATGAAATTTAGACCTACCTTATATCTATTTAGCTCTTTCGCTCTATTCCTATTCATATTTAGATCCATTGCTCTATTCCTATTCACATGTATTTACACGTACAATGCAGTCCTAGGAGCACAGAGCAGGTTGGGCTGGAAAGAATCCAAAGCAAAGACCCTGCAGCCCCAGGGCAGGGGCAACGCTGAGGCACTGATTTTCCACCGCCAGCCCCAGCCCAGCCCTGGAAGCAGGGCCGTGCCTTGGTCCTTGCGGCCGGGGCATCCCCCACAGCGAGGGGACCAAGCCCTCACCCCCTGCATCCCTTCCCGTGCCGCTGCCTCCATCCCTGCCCGCCCCGCGGTGATGCTCAGCGGGAGCTGCAATGGAAGCGGGGGGGGATCCAGCCCCTGCCACAGCTCCGGGGCTCACCCACGGCTTCTGCCCCTGCCCAGCTCCTGCTGTGCTTCAGCGGCTCCCCCAGCCCCGTCGTGAGGGAGAGGGCCCTGGGCAGGATCGCGGCCCTGACCCAGCTGCTGCGGCACCACCGCACACTGAGGGTAAGGACCCGGCAGGACCGAGGCGGGCGGCAGCGACCCCTGCAAGGGGAGACAGGGACCTGCAGAGCATCCTGAGTCTGCCTGCTCCTGCCCCTTCTCCTGCCTCTGCTCCTGCTCCTGCTCCTGCCCCTGCTCTGCTCCTGCTGCTGCTGCTCCTCCTTCTCCTGCCCCTGCCCCTTTTTCTTCTCCTGCTCTGCTCCTGCTCTGCTCCTGCTCCTCCTGCTTCTTCTCCTTCTGCTTCTGCCCTGCTACTTTTCCTCCTTCTGCTTCTTATCGTGTTCCTTCTTCTGCTCCTGTTCCTGCTGTTGCTCCTGCTGCTGCTCATCCTCCTGCTCCTTCTCCTTCCCCTGCATCTGCTCCTGCTCCTTCCCCTTCTCCTGCTCCTCCTCCTTCCCCTGCTCCTCCTCCCTCTCCAGCTCCAGCTCCTGCTCCTCCTCCTGCTTCTGCTCCTTCTGCTCCTCCTTCTCTTGCTCTTCCTCCTGTTTCTAATTCTGCCCCTGCTTCTGCTTCTGCTCCTGCTCCTGTTCCTGCTCTTGCCCCTGCTCCTGCTCCTGGTTCTGCTCCTGCTCCTCCTCCTGCTCCTTCTTCTGCTCCTCCTCCTGCTCCTTCTCTTGCCTCTGCTCCTTCGATCTGTTCCTGCTCTTGCTCCTGCTCCTGGTTCTGCTCCTGCTCCTCCTCCTGCTCCTTCTTCTGCTCCTCCTCCTGCTCCTTCTCTTGCCTCTGCCTCCTTCGATCTGTTCCTGCTCTTGCTCCCACTCCCACTCCCATTCCTTTTCCTGCTCCTCCTCCTGCTCTTTGTCTTGCTCATTCCTTCTTCTCCTTGTCCTTCCCCTTTTCCTTTCTTCTTCTTCCTTCATTCTTCAGGTTCTTCTGGTCCTTCTCCTTCTCTTCTATTTCTTCTTTCTTCATTCTTCTTCCTTCTTCTGTTTTTCTTCAGGTTCTTCTCCTCCTTCTCCTTCTTCTCCTCATTCTCCTTCTCTTTCTCCTTCTTCTCCTCCTCTTCCTCTTTCCCCTTCCCTTTCTCCTCTTTCTCTTTTCTTTCCTCCTCATTCTTTGTGTTCTTCACCTTTTGTTTCTGTTCTTTCTCACTCCCCAGAACCTGCGCCTGACCTGGAGGAGCTCCTGCCTTGCCCCCCCGGAGGAGCTCGCAGTCCCGCTCCTGCCCCAGCTCCTGGGCCACCTCCTCCTCTTCCGCTATGCCAAGGACAGGACAAGCTCCCCAGCCCTGGATGCTCTTTGCGGCCTCCATCAGTACCTCCTGCAGCAGAAAGGTACCTGAGGCCGTGATGCCCCCCCCCCCCCCCCCCCCCCCCCGCAACGATTCTCCCGTATCCCAATTGGCTCTCCTGTGTCCCATTGACTCTCCAGTATCCCATTGGCTCTCCTGTGTCACACTGACTTTCCTATATCCCATTGATGCTCCTGTATCCCTTTGATTCGCCTGTATCCCATTGACTCTCCTGTATCCCATTGACTCCCCTGTATCCCATTGACTCCCCTGTGTTTCATTGTCTCCCCTTTGTCGCATTGACTTTCCTGAACCCCACTGACTCCCCTGTGTCCCATTGACTCTCCATTCCAACTGGCTCTCCTGTGTCCCATTGACTCCCCTGTATCCCACTGACTCTCCTGTATCCCATTGACTCTCCTGTGTCCCCCTTGCTCTTCAGAAAGGCCACAGCCAGAGCATGAAGTGGAAGAGCTCAAACAGGGTGAAAAAATCAGCCCTCAAGACCTCACCATGGTAATGGAGCTTCCCCCATTGCTTGACCCTTTGGTGGGATGCTTCCCCAAGCAGGGACAATGCAGCTTCCATGTTCCCAATCTTCCTCCCGTAGAGGTTTGCAGGGTTCCTTTATCCATGGGAGAGGACGGACATGGTCTGCGTGGTCATCAAGGCCATGAAGGACTCGAGCATCTTCGACAGGAGGGTGGCAGAGGACATCCTGGAGCTGGTCCTGAGCAACCTCGACTTCTGGCTGGCCGAGGTGGGTGCCCCGTGGCTACGTTCCCATCCCCTTCAGTCCATCCTCCTCCATCCCAAACCTAGGAGGTGTCTTGGGTACCCAAAGCAGCAGAGAGGGATGGGGAACGCGGTCCCAGCACCATCCTCGCCTGTGCTCCCCCTTCCAGATGCCGAGCGTCGTGAGGAGCATCCATGAATGCCTGCGGAATAGCAGCAGGGAAGACACGTGGAGAAGGATGGACAGGCTCCTCATCCTGATGGCCATCAACTACCCGAGGGCATTGGCAGTCAACATGGTCCTCAACGTGCCCTTGAGAGACAGGTACCAGCCTTGAGGGCTTGGTCCCTATGGCCACCAGACCCAAGGACCCACGGCAATGGATGATCTTAAGGCCCTTTCCATGATGCTATGATATCTCTGAGGAGCGGGTCCCTGCATCCCACTCCATGGGGAGCACCACTGCTAAACCCCATAGGGCATCAAATGGGATGCCTGGACCACACTGACTCAGCGCCCTGCCTTCCAGCGCTGATGTGGACATGTGGAAGATGGTTCTGAACATATCCAGGACTTCAGAGGCCCTACGGGAGCTGCTGGGGATGCTCCAGGACACCCGGGACACCTCCATCCCTGCCTTGGTTGTGAGTCCCAAAGGGCCCTGATGGCCTCCCATGAGCCCTGCAGGCTCGGTGGGGTCTCAATGCCTGTGTTTGCCTTTAGCCCATGGCCTCTGGTGCTGGTGCTGCTGAGGGTGCTGAGGACCCCCAGAGCCTGATGACAGTGTCCATGCTGCTGGAAAGCATCTTGAAGCTGTCGGAGAAACCTGTCTTGGTGAGCGGGGCATGGCCATGGGGCAGGGCATAGTCATGGGGAGCGCTGTTCTCAATAGGTCATGGGGAGCCCTCTTGGCCATGGCTCATGGGTAGCCCTCTTGGCCACGGGGCAGGGTATGGCCATAGGGACCCCTCTTGGCCATGACCTTCGTGACCACAGCCTTGGGTCGCAGCTTCCTTACAAGCAGCCCCCACCTCTTCCTGCAGGCAAGGAAACTGCAGCGGCTCCTGCCCCACATCATGGGCGAGCTTCCGGATGTCGAGGATGAGCTCAGGATAAAGGCCCTGATAATCCTATCAAATGTGATGGGTCACCTACCAAGGGAGGAGGCCAGCCCCATTGCCGTGGGGCTGGTGCAGGACATCCAGCCCCTCTTTGATGGAGTAAGGGCTGCATGGGACTCCTGCGGTGATTTGGAGCTCACATGGGGATGGCTCCAGGGCTTCACATCCCATCTGGATCTGCCCACGTCCCCCCTTTTCCTCCTTGCCTCCAGGGATGCAGCCGGCTCCGGGAGCTCTCCATCTGCCTGATCCGGCTCCTCCTGGTGTCGGTGTTTGGTCGTGACAGGAGGAGGATGAGGAGCAAAACCTGGGATCTGCTGCTCCCGCTCTTCTTCCACATGAGCGACCAAAGCCGCAGCGTGGCTGAGGTACAGACCCGCCCCATCCCCCCGTATCCCACATTCCCCAGGGTGGGATCATCCCCAAAGTGCCGTCTCCCATCCCATCCTGTGCAGGCTTCCCAGGAAGCTCTCCTTGCTGCGGCGACGCTCCTGGAATGGGAAGAGCTCCGGCGCCTATTGGAGACGAGGCAGATGTGGAGGGTTGCAGGGTGCTTGGTATGGAACCTGCATCCATTCCTGTTCCCATTGGAACCCCTTGGACCGCTCTGCCCATCCGACATCCAGATGGGAAAGGGAGCGTTGGGACTGCTCCAGCCAATGGGGGCGTTCTGTAGCATCCCATTCCCTCTGCAGCTGGAGCGGAGCAGGAAGAGGGCTCAAAGATACCTGCACCAGAGCCTGCGGTACCTGCAGGATGCTCAGGTCCCCCTGCAAGAGGCAGCCGTCAGGTTCATTGGTGAGCTCCTGGGGTCCCCATCCTGGTCCCCACCACTGCACCCCTGATGGATCCCGATGGATCCCTGATGGATGCTGATGGATCTCAATCTATCCCTGTGCCTAGGATTGGCCGCACGGCCCCTCAGAGGGAAAAGCCCATGGAAGCTGCAGCAGATCTGCAGAGGTGAGGAGGGAGCTGTGGCTGGGGGGATGCTGTTGGCTACGGAGGGGCTCATCCCACTCTCTTTGGATCACAGCTCTGGAAGCGCTGCCGGATGAGGGCGATCCCGGCCTCCGTTCCCTGACGGCTCAGACCCTGCTCATCCTCAGGACCCCACCAGCGCAGCGGAGCCTGGGATCCTGCCTGCGGGCGCTCTGCTGCTGGGAATGCTGCAGTTTTCCTTAGGGAAAAAGATGGCAGAGACAGACCCGGACCGAGGAGCTCTGGAGACCGAAGGGCATCGCCTCCGCCATCCCATTCCCTGCTCTCCATCTCTGATGGCATCCAGGCAGCATGCGCTCCAAACGTGATTCACCGTTACCCCGCAATGAAGATGAAGTGATTCCTTCTGGGCTTCCCTGCTTCCATGGATGAGCAGAGGGGGTGGCGCTGTGGAAGGAAACGGTGTTCCCAAAGGAATTTGGTCCATTATAACGCTAACAGTCACGCATCAGCATTGCAATCCCCCCTCGCTTCCATTGAGTGCACCCGGGTACCCCGGTGTGGTCCCCCCTGCTCTGCCTCTTGGTAATGCCCACTGGATAAAACCATGCCCCCCAGTTGCACCCAGCCAATCAGAGCTTGCCCCATCCAACTTGGCCACGCCCTTCCTGTGGACAGGCTTATCGGGCACGAAGCAGGGGGGCACCCCCCCCACTACCCAAAATGGGGGACACCTCCCCCAAAATGGGATCTCAGCTCCCCAAAATGGGGGGGACCCCAACACCCAAAATTCCATAGACCGAGCCCCCCGAGCCCCTCAAAATGGTCGCGACCCCCCTTTTCTACCCCTCCCTTATGGAACAAACCACTGTCGGGAAGAGGGAGGTGGGCAGCAGTTTTATTCCTATCAGCATCAAAACGGGGGGCAGGGAAATTAAATAAGAACATGGGGGCGTATATAATAATGTACACAATAGGTGGGGGAATGATTTTGGGGGGCCCCAATGGGGGGGTCAAAGTGAGGACACACACACACCCCACCCCCCCCACCCCCCCCCCCCCGTGGAAAAAATAGATAGAAAAAGGCAAGATTTAGGGTTGGAAAGGTGCCTTTTATACAAATATAGTGATTCCCCTATAGGGGAAGCCTAACCCCTATAGGAAGGCCTCAGTCCCTATAGGGAAAGTTTGAGCCATATAGGGAAGGCTCAGCCCTATAGGGAAGGCTCAGCCACACAGAGAAAGCCTGAATCCCATAGGGAAGCTTCAGACCTATGGGGAAGGCTCAGTCACATAGGAAAGCCTCAGCCCCGCAGGGAAGACTGAACCCTACAGGTAGGGCCTGAACCCCATAGGGAAGGCTCAACCCCATAGGAAAGCCTCAGCCCCATAGGAAAGGCTTGAGCCCTATAGGGAGGGACTGAACCCCACAGGGAACCCTCCAGCCCCATAGAGTTGGATATTCCCAGTTCCCTATAAAGGTTTGTGGCCCCATAAGGGCTGGTCCTCAGCCCCACAGGGAGGCTCGTGGCCCCATAGAGATGCTCTCAGCCCCATATGGATGCCGGCTACCCAATAGGGAAGGTCCTTTAGGATACAGGGGCAGAGCCCCAAAACAACCCAGAATCACACCAAAAACTCCCAAAAACACCACAAAAACACCTTGTAATGCTTCTCCTATGGGACACAGGGATAGAGAACAAAAACAGCCGCAAAAGAGCCCCAAAAGACCTCCAAACCACCCCAAAACGACCCAAAACCAACCCCAAACCACCCCAAACCACCTTGCCCTGCTTCTCTTATGGTATAAAGGGTCAGAGGCCCAAAGCAGCCCCAAAACCACCCCACAACCACCTTCTCATGCTTCTCCTATGGGATACAGGGTCAGAGACCCAAAACACCCTATAAACACCTCAAAAGCATCCCAAAAACCCCAAAACCACCTTCTCCTGCTTCTTCTATGGGATACAGGTCAGAGGCCAAAAAAGCCCAAAACCACCCCCAGAAAAGCCCCAAAACCACCTTGCCCTGCTTCTCTTACGGTATAAAGGATCAGAGCCCCAAAGCAGCCCCAAAACCACCCCACAACCACCTTGTACTGCTTCTCCCATGGGATACAGGTTCAGAGCCCCAAAACAGTCATAAACCAGCCACAAAACAGCCCAGAACATCTTAAAACCAAAAACCAAACCAAATCACCTAAAAACCACACGCTAAAACACTCCAGAACCACCTTGTCCTGCTTCTCCGATGGGAGACAGGTTTAAAACCATAAAAACATCCCAACACCCCCCCTAAAAAGAAACCAAACATGCCAAAAGCATCTTCTCCTGCTTCTCATAGGGGATCAGGGTCAGAGCACCAAAAAAGACCCCAAAAGAGCCCAAAACCACTTTGTAGTGCTTCTCCTATGGGATAAAAGGTCAGAGCCCCAAAACACCCCCAAAACACCCTAAAACACCCCAAAACCACCTTCTCCTGCTTCTCTTATGGATTACAGTGTCAGAGCCCCAAATCAGCCCCAAACCAATGCAAAACCAGCCCCAAATCAGCCTTAAACATCCCAATAATATCCTAAAGAACTCCAAAACCACCTTGTCCTGCTTCTCCTATGGAATACAGGGTCACAGCCACAAAAACGCCCTAAAACACCCAAAACCAACCAAAACAACCTTGTCTTGCTTCTCCTATGGGATACAGGATCAGAGCCCAAAACCAGCCTTAAACCAACCCCAAATCAGCCCAAGTATACCCTAAAACACCCCAAAACCACCCTGTCCTGCTTCTCCTATGGGATAAAGGTTCAGAGCCCAAAACCACCCTAAAACACTTCACAACCACCTTGTCCTGCTTGTCCTATGGGATACAGGGTCAGAGCCCAAAACCAGCCCCAGAATACCCTAAAACACCTCAAAACCACCTACTCCTGCTTCTTGTATGGGATACAGAGTCAGAGCCAAAAACCACCCCAAAACCACATCAAAAACAACAAAAACCACCCCAAAACCACCTTGTCCTGCTTCTTCTATGGGATACAGTCAGAGCCCAAAACCAGCCTCAAAACCACCCCAAAAATACCCCAAACCACCCCAAAACCACCCTGTTCTGCATCTCCTATGGGATAAAGGGTCAGAGCCCAAAAACTGTCCAAAAAAACCAGTCCCAAAACAGCCCAAAACCACCCCAAAACCAACCCCAAAACACCCAAAACCACAACAAAAGACACACAAACCACAACCCAAAACACTCCAGAAACACCTTGTTCTGCTTCTTCTATGGGATACAGGTTCAGAGACCATAAACATCCCAAAACACCAGAAAAATATCCCAAAACACTCACAAACATATTATCCTGCTTCTCATATAGGATACTGGTTCACAGTCCCCAAACAGCCCCAGACTCACCCACCTGTTGTGGTCAGAGCCCACAACCACCCAATAAGCACCCCAAAATACACTAAAACACAGGAAAAAAAACACCATCTCCTTCTACTCCTACGGAATAAAGTATAAGAGCCGCAAACCAGCCCCAAACCAGCCCCAAACCAACCCAAAACACGTTGTCCTGTTCTCCTACGGGTTACAGCTTCAGAGCCCCAAAACAGCAACAAAAGAGCCCAAAACAACCCTAAAAACCACCAAAACCACCCCAAAACCATCTTCTCCCGCTTCTCCTATGGGATATGGGGTCAGAACCCAAAAAAGCACTGCATAAACATCCCCAAAACACCCTAAAACACTTCAAAAAAACACCTTGTCCGGCTTCTCCTATGGGATACAGGGTCAGAGCACAGAAACACCCCAAAACACCCCAAAATAACCTTCTCCTGCTTATCCTATGGGATTCAGGATCACAGCCCCAAAACACCCAAAAACCACCCAAAAACCACCTTCTAATGCTTCTCCTATGGGATAGAGGGTCAGAGCCCCAAAACAGCCCAAAGCACACCCAAAACACCCAAAAAACAACCTAAAACAACCCAAACCCAACTTGTCCTGCTTCTCTGATGGGATTCAGTTCCAGAGCCCCAAAACACCCCCAAAACAATATAAAACACCACAAAACCACCACAAAATCACTGCAAAAACACTTTGTCCCGCTTCTCCTATGGGATAGAGGGTCAGAGCCCCAAAACAGCCCAAAGCACACCCAAAACACCCAAAAAACAACCTAAAACAACCCAAACCCAACTTGTCCGGCTTCTCTGATGGGATTCAGTTCCAGAGTCCCAAAACACCCCAAAACACCCCCAAGACAATATAAAATACTCCAAAACCACCCAAAACCACCACAAAATCACTGCAAAACCACTTTGTCCTGGTTCTCCTGTGGGATGCAGTGTCAGAGCCCCAAAACACCCAAAAAAAACCTAAAACACCCCCAAAAAACCCAAAACACCCCAAAAACACTTTGTCCTGCTACTATGAGTAACAGGATCAAAGCCGAAAACTGTTGCAAAACACCCCCAAAGAAACCCAATCTGCCCCCATAACACCCTAAACCACTCCAAAACAACCTTGTCCTACATCTCCTATTGGATGCAGGTTCAGAGCCACAGAACACCCTAAAAAAACTCCAAAAACACCTCAAAATCACCTTCTCCGGCTTCTCCTACGGGATTCAGCATCAGAGCCCCAAAACAGCCCCAAAACACCCCAAAACCACCTTGTAATGTCCTACTTCTATGAGTGATAGGATCAAAGCCAAAAACTGTTGCAAAACACCCACAAAGAAACCCAAAAAACCCTGATAACACCCTAAAACACTCCAAAACAACCTTGCCCTACATCTCCTATTGGATACAGGTTCAGAGCCACAGAACACCCTAAAAAACTCCAAAAACACCCCAAAATCACCTTCTCTGGCTTCTCCTATGGGATACAGGGTCTGAGCCCCAAAACAGCCCCATAACAGCCCAAAGCACACACAAAAGACCCAAAAAACCTCCTAAAACACCCTAAAACCACCTTGTCCAGCTTCTCCAATGGTATTCAGTTCCAGAGCCCCAAAACACCCACAAACACCCCAAAAACAAACTAAAACACACCAAAACACTCCCAAAAGACCCAAAACCACCCTAAAGCCACCTTAAAACCACCTTGTCCTTCTTCTCATATGGGATACAGTGTCAGAGCCGCAAAACAGCCCAAAACAGCCCATAACAACCCCAAAACACTCAAAAAAATACCCCAAAATATCATCAAACTCCCCCAAACACCTTGTCCTGCTTCTCCTATTGGATACAGGTTCAGAGCAACAGAACACCCTAAAAAACTCCAAAAACACCTCAAAATCACCTTCTCTGACTTCTCCCATGGGATTCAGG